TTTTTGAGACAGGATCTCACTGTATAGTTCAGGTTGGGCTTGAACTCGTGGCAATTCTCTTGCCTCAGGCTCTTGAGTACTACAATCACAGGTGTGAGCCACCATGCCTGGCTGGGCGTATGCCTGTAATCCCAGCACTCGGAGGCTAAGGCAGGAGGATTCCCTTGAGTTCAAGTTCAGCCTGGGCTACTAGTGAGTTCTCATTATGTAGGCTGAACTACATATTGAGGTCCTGTCTCAGAGAAAATTTTAATACTTTCAAAAACTTATAAAGTGTAATACCATAAATACCTGCAATCCCACCATCCAGCTTAATGACAAAAACATTTGCTTTTAATCTTCATTCATGTACATTGGTTCCAGATCTTAGTGTTTAGGGAGAGACCTATGTAATATATGAAGTCCTTGTAGCTTTGTAATAATGAGAGAGAAGGAAGGACCCTAGACTAATGAGGCCTGTGCTGGAAGGAGCCAAGACTCAGGCAGCTCCATCTGTCTTCAAAGCCCTGCATCCTGATGAACAACATGCAGCAACTGAGGGTCCAGCTGGAAAAGATGTTTGAAGCCATGGGAGGCAAGCAGGTAGGCCTTAGGGTTTGGGGTCACTGTACTTTTCCCATTGTTCCTGAGTTCCCTGGCCATAGAGCTCTATCCTCTCTTGATTAGCATAGAGTAGGAGTTTATCTTGGGGTCTGAGCTGGCTTAATCAGAAGCGGACATTGAGGCAAAGCCTTAGGAAGAAAGACAAAGCATTGTAGTAAGGCGCTAGGAGGGAGGAGCAGGAATTGGGGTACACCCTTAGGAGGGAAGAACAGAGGTACAGGAGGGAAGACTGTAAGAGAAGCAGCCTAGCCAGGCCCACCTCCTCTGGCTACAGCTGGACCCTGAAGCAGCAGACAGTCTGAAAGAGCTGCAGGTGAAACTGAATGCAGTTCTGGATGAGCTCAGCATGGTGTTTGGAAACAGGTCAGTGGTCCCAAAATACACAGCCCTTAGAGCCACATAAGACTCCTGACCCTTCCCAGAGCCCCTGCCTATACAATCCAGCTGCAGGTATGTGGATTCTCCTTCTACACTTGCTGACTATTGCTGCTGGAGAAGCACCATGAGCCTGAGAAATAGGCCCAAATAGCTGGTGCTGCTCCAGGGTCAGTGTGATGGGGAGGGGAGGGCTGCACTGTGTGTAATGTAGCTTCCAGGTGCGGATTGATGAATGTGTTCGACAAATGGCTGACATCCTGGGCCAGATTCGGGGCACAGGAAATGCATCCCCCAACACCAGGGCCTCAGTAGCTCAGGATGCAGATAGTGTGCTGCGGCCTCTCATGGACTTCCTTGATGGCAAGTGAGTAGAACATTCAAGGTTTCCTGTGGGGACAAGCAAAGCAGAGTCTACCAGAAAGAGGATCCTGTTGAGGAGGGGGGTACCCAGACTCTCACCACGGTTTCACATGTTTCCTGGGCCTGCAGCCTCACACTCTTTGCCACTGTGTGTGAGAAGACAGTTCTGAAGCGAGTCCTAAAGGAGCTCTGGCGAGTGGTGATGAACACGATGGAAAGAATGATCGTTCTACCCCCGCTTACTGACCAGACAGTAAGGACCCCTCCCTCTTACTTCCTACTCCTGTCTCCCTTCCCTTCAGTCCCCACTTCCTGATAGAGTCTGGGATTCTGTGCTTTTAACTGAACCCCTCTCTGCCCAGGGCACCCAACTGATCTTCACTGCTGCCAAGGAGCTGAGCCAGCTTTCCAAACTCAAGGTTCTGTGGGTGTTGGGTCCTTCTGAGGCTGGGAGGACAGCCATTGGGCTTTGGAGATTGAAGAGGAGGCGGGAGTGAAGAGCATGCAGCTATTGGCTGACAGGTGGGGAAAGACCTTCATGACTTTCTTGAGTTGTTCTAACACTGCTGTTTTCTCTGGGGTTCCAGGACCACATGGTGCGAGAGGAAACACGGAATCTCACTCCAAAGCAGTGTGCAGTCCTTGACCTTGCCCTGGACACCATCAAGGTAGAGACTGCTCCCTTTTCCACACACTCCTGGCCCTGACATTCCATCTTGCCAGACAGGGTGTCCCTGGGGTTCTTACTACCCCACATCCAGATGAGAAGCCCTATATACTGTTAGGATTACAGAGAGAACCATAGATGGTTCCTCATTTTAAGATATTTATGGTGGGTGAAGCAGGAATAAGGAAGGTCCTTACAGACTCTAATTCAAGGCACTGGAGAGATGTATGTCCTAGGCATCAAGTTCCTTAAGGTTCAGCGGATAAAAGCCCACTTTTGGCCTGAAATGCTTCTGTCCCATATCTCTGCCTTCCTTCAAACAACCCACCTCCAGGAACATGGCACTTCAGTCCTGCTCCTGTGAAATGCCCAAATTACACTCTGCCGAGGGACTGACTCATTCTGTGGGTGTTCCTGGTCTGATGAGAGACCTGTTCTTGCAGTCTTCTACTGGCTTCTCTAAGGGTAGTTGGGGAGCTGCCTCTCTGTGAGGGAGTAAAGGAGGTTGCTCATTTATTTTTCAGCAATACTTCCATGCAGGAGGCAATGGGCTAAAGAAAGCCTTCCTAGAGAAGAGCCCAGATCTGCAGTCCCTACGCTATGCTCTATCTCTGTACACACAGACCACAGACACTCTCATCAAGACTTTTGTGCGCTCACAGACTGCCCAGGGTAAGGTCATAAGGGATTTGTGTCCCATCTTTTTCTCTCCCATGCACAGTATCTTCTAGCTCTTCAGAAGCATGTGTTTTCTTGTTCACAGAGCCTTTCAAGTCATATCTCAGGATTCTTTGAAGAGATCTAGAGACTTCCGTTGTTATCCCTGACCTATAGTACCAGGCAGGAGAATCAAAGGAGCCTAGAAATTGTGTCTGGGATTTCTTTTTCTTTCTCCTTGGTACTGGGGATCAAAGTCAGGACCTTTCACTTGCCAGGCAGGCTTGATATCACTGAGCTACATCCCTGGCTCATGCCTGGAATTTCTTTTCCCAAACATTACCTAAGCAGTATGTGTTTATTTAGCTCTGGAAGTGTACCCTGTCTGATAAGAGGGGAGAATAGGGAAAAATCTCTGAGGAAGCCTTGAGAATAAGTGTTTGGGAACCTTGCTGAGAGTTGTCCTGGGGAGAGAAAGCAAAATCCTTTCCACACACTTCATTGTGGACCAGGAGAAGACTAGGAGAAATAAACCATGAGAGCAACTAAAAGGAAGGCAGAGGGACCTGGACACACAGTGCACAGTGGAAGCCCCAGCCTCAGGGTGATTGTTGCACAGGAGACTAGGCTCCTGGTTTTTCTCAGTGATTTCCAGTCCTCAGGACTCACTGCCTCTAGCTAAGGCCTGTCCACACCAACATATACCTGCCTAGATGCAGCTCAGACTGAAATTTTTACTTGATCCTGCAGTTGGGCCCTCCCAGAAGGCCCCTTCAGGCACATTTGCTGCTGTTTGTTCTAGGGAAACCTGGGAAGGCTGCCTGGGGGCAAGAACCTGATGGCATGCCAGGGTAGTTCGGGTATTACTGAACTGTAGACTGGGGCACAGAGCTGACAGGGAGGTGAGATATCAAAGTACTTAGACTGAGATGACAGAGGTAAGAATATGGAGGGGACCTATAGCACTGCATTTTCCATATCTGCTCTTATTTTCAGTCCAGGGTGGGGAAAAGTGGGCAAAAGAAGTAACAGTGAGTCTGACTGAAGGGAGCAGGGAGAACTTTTACAGAGCTGAGTACATGCAAGGCGTGTAATATCAGAGAAGAACAGAAAGGCTTCTCAGAAGCAGTGAGATAGATAAAAGCAGAGGATTCAGATGTGGCGACACATGGCTATAATGCAGCACTCTGGCAGGTAAAGTGGGAGACTCTTATGTTCAAGCCTAACCTAGGCAACTTAGTGACTAATAAAACAGTAAATTTTAAAAAAAGGAACTGGAGGTGTAACTCACTGTGAAAGGCCTTTATTTTCAATCCCTACTACCGTTAAAAAAAAAACAAAAACAAACCCAGAATATAACCAAATACCAGAGGAGATGCCTAAAGGGGCACAGCGGAGGTGAGAATGCACCTGCAGCCAGAACAAGCATGTGTGCTCTGTGCAAAGTTTTGTCATTTGAGGGCCTAGGAAAGTACACTACAACCTCTCTTTTGCCCTTCTCTGTATATTTCACTGCTTCTGCCCATGATTTGGTTGATCTCTGACCCATGAAGCCTGATGTGGACCATTCAGGCACTGACCCCAGCTCTTGGACTTTTCTCCACCCTGCTGCACCTCTGTGCTCCTCTAGAGTATGTGTAGAGCTGCTTTCAATGGCTGCAACTCCTTTGACCTCTAACAGTTCTTCTTTCTCTGTCCTATTGCTGCTGCTGCCTCTTGTCTTGCCTGTCCTCACTCAGTGCATGATGGGAAAGGTATTAGATTTACTGCTAACGAGGACATTCGGCCAGAAAAGGGTATGTTAAATACTATGCAGACATGAATCTAATATGGACTAATGCTGACCTCTCTCAACTGGAATGAGGGGCTTATGCTGGGGGTGATGAACCAGGTGTCAAAATTCAGGTCTATCCCAAGTCTAGGAGATAGGTGATGTGTTCATATATCTCAGGAAGGAATTCTGTTATTGACCTCTGTTCTGTCCTCAGAATTCTTTTTTTTTTTTATTTTTTGGTACCCAGGATGGAACTTAGGTCCTTGCTCTTGCGAAGCAGGCAGCAGAACCACTGAGCTAAATCCCTGGCCCTTGTCCTCAGAATTCTACTCTCCCTCATACACATCTCAGGACAAAGGAGTTTTATCTGAGATGCAGGGCAGTGATGTTCTCTCAAAACAGGGGAGTCTCTGCTGAGATGTTGACTCTTTTTCAGAGGTTGGGACTACAGAGTCTTTCCAACAAGGGTGGCCCCCCAACCAGTGGTATTTCTGAGGATAGGTGAGCAGTTGCTGCTTTTGCCTAGAGGGGAAATAACAATGCTCCATTCAGAGACCCTATAGCTTGGACATAATTTCCAGACTCAGACTCAGGACCTTGCGCTTGTGAGGCAGAAGCTGTGCTACTGAGCTAAATCCCCTGCCCCATAGTGCATCTTTGAAGGAAGTTTCTCCTAAGATGCTTTCAGCTTTAACTTGTGTTATAATACACATTGACCATCCCTTTTCTTTCCCTTCTCCCATTATTTATTTCCCTGTGGCTACTGTGGGTGATTGCTTCCTAAGTTTTACCTGAAACAATTAGTCCTAAAATCCTAGAGTTTTTCACTGAGCAGTTATCTGTCCATCTGTCTCAGGGTCTGGTGTGGATGATCCTGTGGGAGAAGTCTCTATTCAGGTGGACTTGTTTACACACCCTGGTACTGGGGAACACAAGGTAACAGTGAAAGGTGAGTGGTGTGGACTTAGAGGTCTGACCTTTTCTTCCCCATGACCTCACCTATCAGTTGAGAGCAAGGGCTGCTCATTCCAGTCCTCCAGCTCAGCCCTTCTCCATGGGAAATGTCAGTTGAAGCTCAAGAACTGGGAATGCCTGGTGGGATCTCTGAAGGTTTCCCTTTTTTGGGCAGTGGTGGCTGCCAATGACCTCAAGTGGCAGACAGCAGGTATGTTCCGGCCTTTTGTGGAAGTGACCATGGTTGGCCCACACCAAAGCGATAAGAAGAGGAAGTTCACTACTAAGTCCAAAAGCAACAACTGGGCTCCCAAGTACAATGAGACATTCCACTTGTAAGTTATGGGTAGGGGACCTGCAGGACTGTGGGATGGGGGTCATGTGATGAGGGGGTTAAGATTGAAGAGGTGAGAAAAGTGATAGTCTGGATGATAGACTGGGATGAATTCAGCTGAGGACTCAGATCTCGCATCCTATCTTCTCTTCTGTGCTCACAGCCTCCTAGGAAATGAAGAAGGTCCAGAGACCTATGAGTTGCAGATATGTGTGAAGGATTACTGCTTTGCCCGGGAAGATCGTGTGCTAGGGCTAGCAGTGATGCCTCTAAGGGATGTGGCTGCCAAGGGCAGCTGTGCCTGCTGGTGCCCCTTGGGCCGAAAGATCCAAATGGATGAGACAGGCATGACCATTCTCCGGATTCTGTCTCAGAGGAGCAATGACGAGGTCGCCCGAGAGTTTGTGAAACTCAAATCGGAGTCCCGTTCCACAGAGGAGGGGAGCTGAACATCTTTGGTTCATGTGCCATCCAGTGGTACTGATTGCACAAATCAGAGCTAATGGGAGTTAGCTGTGTAGCCAACTTAGGGTCTATTTAGTCAAGAGGTTGACCCTTTCAGTTAAGGATATTTAAGGGAAATTTGAAGGGTAGCTGAGAGTATGGCTTTTTCCAATAAGGGCCATGAATCCCTAACCAATAGGTCTGGGCTGTAGGAGCTACCGCATGGAGAGCATTCCAAAAGGGAGAGGGATAGACATTTCAGACCAGCTGTTTGTGGTAGACATACTTCCACACCCCTTACCATCTCTCCCCTTCTTGAGACCACACCATACCCAGTTAGACACACACCAACCACTAGGAAAACAAGTGTAGAAAGCCTGGAGCTTGTACCTGTCCAGCTAGATAGTTGGTTGAGCCTATGGGTATTGTTGAACCTTGTGCTCCATGTTAGAGAGTAGCCAAGGCAGAACCACATAGAATAGAATTCACTGTCCCTTGAGCGGAATCCACTTGTTTTGTGTGGCTCTACTGAGAACAAGTCTTTGAAACTGAACAAGCTACCTTCTAAAATTGAGCTGTGCTAATCCCTTCCCTCAGGTTCTATCTGTCATGAGTAAAATCAGTTTCATGTGGTGCTTCAGAGCTCTAAGCAGAATATTTCTTTGGAACCAAGGTATGAAGGCCGCCTGCCTAGAATCTCCCTACTTCATCCCTGTAGGCAGGGATGCTTAGGACATTAAAGGTTATTCTTACATGTATAGACCTGAGGGCTAGTAGATGAAAGATCCAGGAGTATTTTCCTGGGCAGCCCCCTGAACAAAGCCAAAAATTATGGACTCAGTCTAGAGTCATGCTCACCTATGGCTACTACCTTCCAGCTGTCTTTGTGGAAAGAATCTAGCCTTTGTCCTCTCTTCCTGTCATCTGGGTCAGCTGCTGTTCCCTTCATAGATGTTCAGCCCTACAGAAGGAGCTTGGACTCTGATCCCTCTGTAGCAGGCTGGATGGAAGGGGTGAGGCTCAACACTCCCTGGGAGGTCAGTGACCAACTGGACTTCTCGGACCCTTGTTCAGAGCTGTGACATGGTCCTTGGATTTCCTTGATGACAGCCTCCTAACCTTCCTGAAGATGCGGCATCGTTCACAGCTGCACTGGCCAATATATGAAACAAGAACCAAGCATCTTTGCTGTTTTTAATTATTGTATGTGCCATTGTAACAAGAGATTGTAGGCTAGTATGTAATAAATTATCTTCTTGCAGCCTTCAGGGTCTGGTAATTCTGTGCAAGTATGGAAAGCCGTAGAAATGACTGTCCTATATCATGGTAGCCTTTGGCTCAGTGGCCCTTGGCTGCTTCACACTCTCCTCTCTCCCTTTCCCCACTTCCTCCCAGCCAAGTGATAGAGCCTAAAGTCAGTCGTTCAAAATGGGGACCAGGCAAAACAGATGCATCTTGGTCTTGACCTGAGACCACCAATATGATTAACAGAGTCCTGGAATCCAGAGTATCAGTTTACTGTAAAAGGTCTGGAAGAAGAGATGATAGGTGAGAGTGAAAAGTCGTCCATGCTTCCTCTTTCCTTTGTCTAGGATTGCTAGGACAAACCACAGCCTGGGCTGTGAGACAAGGCAGGGACCTGCTTGGAAGAGACATGCCTTCATGGGTTGGTAGAGGGCTGGGGCTGCTATCTATGGCTGGGACAGAAGGTTCTCCCTAGGAGCACACACTGGCATTGTATTCAAGGAAAAAAGAGCTGCAGCAGAAAAATTCCCAAAGGGAAGGAAATAAGGTAAAAGTGAAGCCTCCAAGCATAGGAGTCTCAAAACTGAAGCAAGAATGATCCAACCACTCTTACTCAGCCTGCAAGTAGAGCTGTTTCCGTTTGCCTAATTAGAACCTCACAGTTCAGTTACCAAGTCATTTAAAACTTCCTCCTTTTCCTCCCCGCTCCTTCCCCAAAGCACTTTGTCTTTCTACATCAAAATTGCCTGTAGAGGGCCGGGGATTTAGCTCAGTGGTTTGGCTGCTTGCCTTGCAAGCGCAAGGGCCCAAGTTCACCGGTACCAAAAAAAAAAATTGCCTGTTGAATCCACTGTCTCACCTCAGTTCCCACTACCACAAGTGGTTTTTAGTCCCCCTCTTCTGTATTATTGTGATCATTGTGATCATCTCCGGCCCTGTCACACCCACCTACCTCTGTTCTTTGCCTGCTCTCTTCAAACATTTATTGATAACTCTCCTGTTAAAGCTATTAGTGGTCACCCACAGTCTCCAGGGTCAAACTTCAAGACAGCACAGTCATTCCACACCCCATCCTGCAGCTAAAGCACTGTCCTTGTTCCTCCACATGCACGTGCACTGGTACTCTTTAGTACCTTGAAAGTTCTGGTCTCCTTGCTGGAGTGTTTAGCAGCCTGCCCTTTCCATTTTCAAACCTCTGACATCTCCCAGAAGATGGATGATGAGACGCAACCAATTCCCCCACAGCACTCTACATTGTAATAGAGTATTAGTGTGTTACCCAAAGGCGGGTCAGAGTGTTTCACCTCTGTCCCCTCAGCCAAGCAGAGGGGCAGAGTTCCCAGGGGTTGGGACCCGGTGAGAGGGGCGTGGCTGGAGGTGGGCTAGGAGCGTGGGCGGGGCGGGGTTCCAGCTCTGGATCTGCGGAGTCTGCGCAGAAAGGTGCGTTAAGATGGAGGTTGGTAGAGACGACGGCTGAGGATCGACGGTAAGAAGTGTCCAAAGGGAGCGCCCGAAGAGAAATTATTGCCTCTCCCTCCTAACAGCCTTTTTAGACAGTTCCTGATATTCGTACCTCTCAGTACTTCTTGGTAGCTATCCGTCCTTTTACTTTCTTGAGAGCTCTTCTCCCAGTATTCCCCGAGGTCATTATTACCCTCTCTTCCTGTTCCTGGAGTACACAGGTTTCCCAGACATCCCAAAGGAGACTTTTGTTCAGATACTTAACAGAGGGTTTCTTTAGACCCTAAATAACTCTCAAAAGGCACATATTTGTCCGGTTACTACATGAAACATCTACCCCAAACTGTAGCACATTCCTGTTAACTCGGAGTTTGTTCACTTTTCCGGCACTGGCCAGATTCAGAAGGCAAATATCCCATTTTCGACTTGGAAATGGCATGCTTGCTAAATTCCCTTTCTCTTAAGGAGTAGAATATCTGTCCGGATAGGGAAAAGTAAAATTCTTGGCAACATGATTGGTGATCTGAATTAGCAGCTATCTTTTAAAAGGGAAGAAAAACTAGATTTCATGTTTTTAAAATGCAGGTTTCCCACTTTAAAAGAAAATTGTGTATTAGCCTACAATCCCACAAAGGGCTAGACACAGAGGCCTGGTCATTGTTAAAGGGACTAATAAATAGTGGATAACAAGAACTACCAACAATGTTGAGTCATTATTAGCACTCCTACACTTGAAAGAGAATGGAGAGGGTCTCTTGTTAACAAAGCCCAGCTACAACTCTGGAAGAGACTGCCTGATGAGGTATGCCCATAAAATGCTATGCAGCCACTGCAAGAACTTGGATAACGCAGAGGAATAAATGCCCTAACCTTTCTCCTCATGCACTTGTTTGCACCTAGTACCTTCCACTGACAAAATCCAAACAGCATTCTAAGGGCAAGAGAGTCTGAGTGATATAGTCTGTAGAAGTCAGCTTTCCAGAACAGGGCAAAGAGAGTTGGGGAATGGTAAAAGACAAAACAGCAAACAGGATAAAAGTGCATACATGTAAAAATCACCACTATGGATGCTTTCCAAGTTTTCCCTCTGTTCAAATTAAAAATCTATTGTAAGGCCCAGTTTCTTTATCTGTGTAATGAGAATGGTGCTGCCTTTGTCCCCGGTGAATGTGAGGACTCTGATATAGTACATAAAAGTGCCCAGCATGGGGCCTGATATACCCTGGAAGCCCAGTAAATATTAGTTCTTTCTTACATGTAAAATGGTTCTTTGACCATAATACCTTTTCCGGTCAAGGTCTTCAAGTGTGGCTGGAAGTAAGTGAATAAAGGGGAAATAGGGGATAAAATAGGCCTGGCAGCCCATTGTAATAACTGACTTTTCAGATATTTAAAAAATCTATTCTATTAAATTTTTGTGAAGTATATAATTTTAAAAGTCATAAACTTGATAATACATAATTCAAACCTCAGAGACAACTATTTGTTTAAAAACAAAATTAGACATCAAAATATTTATGATAGAAACTCATAATCAGTATAGTTTTGTGTTCTGATTTTTCTCTCAATAGTGAATCAAAATATTTCCTCAATTACAATAGGAAGTCCAATAAATTTGCCATTTCAGTGATTTTTGGGTGGCTTAGGAAACTTTACCTGTGTGTCTAATTGTTCTTTGAACCTTTTAAGACTTTGATTAAATTTAGTAAATAATATGGATGGAAAGATGGAGGTATAATCTTAATGCCACATTCTGCATGCCTTCACAACTCAGTCAGCTAGAGAAATTTCCCTGTATTTTCCCTGCAATTTGAAGTCTTTTTGGGTTTAGTGTAAATAGTTGTAGGTCAGCCTCTCAGCAACTTTTCTATAAGACACAAAATAGAAGATATCCAAATGCTATTTTTCAGGACTATTAAATTGCAATGTTATTAAGCTCAAACTTGAACTATACCTGTAGGGTGAATTGCAAGAAACAGACTCATAAATTCTCTACATATTCAATTGCATTCACTTGGACAGTGTGCATGCTTCTTAAACATTCCCAAAAGGCTTGTTTCTACTTTGGATTCCCTGTCAATATATAGGTACACTAATCTATAAATTTTGTGCATACACAATTCTCATAGAAAAAGATCTTTTAAAAATATAAAATAAGGCATGTTTTAAAAGTAGTTATTTTATGCTGGCCGTGGTGGCACACGCCTGTAATCCCAGCACTCGGAAGGCTGAGGCAGGAGGATCGCTGTGAGTTCGAGACCAGCCTGGGCTACTTAGTGAGTTCTAGGTCAGTCTCAACTACATAGTGAGACCCTGTCTCAAAAAAACTTATTTTATGTGTTGATAGCATAAGTAACCTTGCTATTATATGAAAAAGAAATCACTATAACTGAAAGTATGCCCTTTGGTTCAACTTATTTTTGGCTAGGTTTTGGTTTTTTTTTTTCCATTTTCTTTATTGGTACATTTTAGTCATACAGTACAGTTACATTCATTATTGGGATCTTGTACCTTTACATGATATATCTTGGTTCTTATCCTTTCCTCATTCCCCTGCCCTTCCTTCACCCCCTCCACCCCTTCCCATCTACAGAGACTTTATTTGCATTTTTTTCCTTTTTTCTTTTCCCTTCTTAGCTTTCCCCTACTCCTCCCACTTCCCCTACACCTTTAAACATTTTTCCTATTATACAATATTACTTACACATTTTAATTCTTATTTATACTTTTAGTTTATCACACCAGAGAAACTATTTGGTATTTACATATGTGTGTCCTATTAATTTCACTTAAGAGTATGTCCTAGGTGTGCATCTGCTTAGCTATAAATGTCTCTAGTCTCTCGGTCTTTATGTCTATTACTCCACTGTATAAAAAAAATCTTTATCCAGTGTAATGACTAATTTTTAATGGGAGTAAGATAAGAAGTCATTGGAAAGTTCTGCAGTGTATCTTCTAACATCAGGCTCCTATCATTCACTAGGGAATCACCTATTCATTCATTCAAAAATATTTACTTGGAATATACTATGTGCTAGACATTGTTTTAGACACTGGAGATATGTTGATATATGTATTTTCCTAACGTCAAGGTCAGTGTGGCCTGCTGAAGGAAAAAGACATTTTTAGTTAAAATATAATGTCAAGATAAAGAGCTCAGAGTAAGCACACCTGACCCATCTTGAGAATATTAGAAGTTTCCTAAGGGGACCATTGATGTGAACTGGATCTTAATAAAACTTACCCAGGTCCAAACAGAGAGAAATTGAGTTCTAGACATTTGAAGTAGTATGTGCATGTGGAATAAAAAGGAAGTTGGTGGTGTGCTGGGAACTGCAGGTAGTTTATATCACTGGAGAATTGGTTTGGGGCAGGAAAATGCTGAGAGATAAGACTAGAAAAATAGCAGGTTCTAGGTCATTGTGGAGAATTTAGACTTTATCTTGAAAACAAGGGTAGAAAGCATAACCAAAGATAGTATTTTGGAAGCTGGGTATGTATTTAATAATGAAGCATTTGCCTAGCATGTATGAGGTCTTGGGTTGGATCCCC